AATTGTATGCTATATATTTAAATGCAAAAATTCAGGTGAATATCGAGCAAAAAAAAAGGCAGATACAAAAGACTATCATGAACATGAAAGTGCAAAAGTGGGCTGTTCATGGAGGGTTAACCTTTACCTTACTAAAGGCATTATATATGTTACTTCAATTTGCAAGAAGCACAACTATCTACTACATAATGACATAAGGAATTTAGAGTCAAAGTTTCATCGTCTCAGTTCAGAAATGCTCGAAGAGGTTGAATTCCTCATAAATATTAATTGTAGTACAGGCCCAATCATTTGTGGACTTCAGAAACGTTTTTCTGATACTATAATCTGCTCAAAGAATGTATATAATGCAATCAATCATTTTCGACATAATAAAAAATAATAAAAACTGATGCTGCTGAAATATATGAAAAATTAATGCAGTTGCAATGTAAAGAATATGAATAGTTTGTTGAGGCATAATTGGAAGGAGATGATAATCATTTAACTGGCCTGTTTTGGATAAGACTGTCACAAATTGATCTGTGGTAAAGATTTCATGACGTCGCAATTAACGACAATACAGTACATACAAATAGGTACCACATGCTTTTATCTTTTACTATTGTTGTAAATAATCATGCATGTTCTCGAATGGCTACAACAGCTATTGTATCAGACAAAATGAAAGAAACCTATCAATGGATTTTAAGGTGCCTGTTACATGCTACTAATAGTCTTGCACTAGAAGTACTATTCACAGATGCAGATCTTGAGATGATCGCAGCTATTCATGAAACCCTTCCTTCAACAAAGTATAACTACTGTATTTGGCATATACGCAAAAATCTCGAAAAAAATTTGAAAAGAAAACTTCGCAATGAATATTTTGATTTTATAACAGTGTGGAATAAATGTAGAAACAGTTTTTCTGAAAATGAATTTAAAAAACAATGGCATGATCAACTTACCAATTACCCAGTAGCTAAAAAGTATCTTAGACGTGCTCTTGGAGTTGATGTGACTAGTTAGGTACTATGCTATACCCATTGGTCATTTAATGCTAGAATTCAATCAACACAACATGTTAAAAGCTATAATTTATTGATCAAATGATCAGTCAAGACTTCAATGACGTTATATGAATTGGATTACATATTCAATTACAGCTTGATAAGGAAGAAAAGTTTGAACGACTAGAGGAACAAAATAATCAAAATCTGACTATTGGCTTATCTAACATTATTAATAGATACTTTAAGCGAATTAATATAATTCTCAAAAAGTATCTCATATCACAAATATTAAAAATACAGCATCGCCAAATGAACGAAAGCTTGCTTTATTGTGCTAAAAAAATTGAAAATTAGAAAAATCTACTTAATGATAAGGTGTGTATTAATAAGACCATTTTTAATAAAGTTTATTTCTAAACAAAAAATTTTTTTTATTAACAAAAGTACTTGATTTTGATGAGAAAATAAATATTCAAGAAATATATAGAGAAGGCCAAGAAGAATCTGACGATGAAGAAGAGGATGATAATACAGATCTGATAGGAGTAACAAGTGATATTAAATTTGTTGAGGATAACTATGAATTCGTAATATCAAACTTGGATTCTTTAACTAAATGCATTAATCGAACTAGCATTGATAAAGTTTAGTGTGTCACAACTATTGAACAAAACAAAAAATATTTTGTGGTAGTTTATAGAACAGCTAATCATTTGTATACATGTATGAACCTTGTAACAAAAGGGTTAGTTTGCTAGCACTTTTTTTTGGTGATGCTTAGCTCAGATAAGGCCATGTTTCATATTGGTCTCATTCCTGATTGATGGTATAAAGAATTAACGTACGATTCTTGAGAAGAAGCTGCAATTACTATTTTTAGCAAGAAGCATTTATCAGATAGTAATGAATCTAGATTTGAATACCAAATCGAAACTAATTTTAACTCTCTTAATAAGATTCGTCATATGCAAATATTCTTAGAGACTGTCAAACAAAATCTGTCTCATCAAGTAAAATACAATAAGGGATTTGGATATGCAAAGAAGGCAGTTAATTTATCACTTGAAATTGGCTGCGAAGATGAACTAAACAAGATACTACAAAATTAGATCAATGAGAAGAAAAAGGATATTCATAATAATATAAATGAGTCTAATAAGGAGAACTTGTCAGATATTAGTAATCCTTATTTAACACGAACAAAGGGTGCTTCTAAGAAACGTATAAAAAGTGCTTTAGAAAATACAACAACAAAATGCTATAATAAAAAAACCACTGAGCTAGTATATGTTAATAAAAATAAAACTTGTATTACTACTGAAGATTTACAAGATACTAATTATGAGTGAGTAAATTTGGTTGTTATGTTGATTTTTAATAATATCTACTCTTTATTAATTTCTTTTATTTATACAGAGTGAATAAATCAGATTATGATAAGCAACTTGAAGAGGCAATTCGACTTTCAAGACAAAATAATAATTTAGGTAAATCTTTTCAACATAGTTATAACTTGATACAAAAAAAATATGTATGTAGCTATTGCAAAGGCATTGGTCATAATGCTCGTAGCTGTGAGAATAAAAAATGTTAAAAATGCTTAGAGATAATATATATTAATAAAAGTTGAATCTAAAAGCTTAATTTATAAAGTACTTATTATTATATTAGTGAATGAGATATTGAGTTATTTATCTCAATTATGTAAAGGATTTTTATAAATCTGAATTAGAGTTAACAACTTGCTAAATTTTAAATATAATATTCTTCTAATACAAATATGCAATATAACTATTCTAGGATCAGCAACAAAATTTTATACTTACATGACTAATCTACAAACCAAATTGCAAGATCTCAATTTCAAAAATTACATCTAATTTGAAATTTAATTAAAAAACTAGCTTTTGTGTTCTAATTAAAAGATTTCATCACAAAATTTTGGTAGAGATATACTTCTCTACTTATCTATTGATTCAATTAAACTATAATAAATTTTTGTAATATTTAAATACAAATTTGATATGAGTATAAAACTTTGTTGAAAATGTTTTAATCAATCATGTAAAATATATCATACAAAATTTGACTGCTATGTTTTGTGCAGTGAAAATTACTTGTGGTGATGATCACCTGTGGTGATATTTAGCAAACCTCTATAATATATTAATATATAAATATATAGTTATAACAAATTTACAAAACTTATATAAAAAAGTATTATATAAAATTAAAATAATATTCTTTATATCTTACTTGTTTCTGTAAACTATTTCTCAATATTAGCATTATTAATTCTTTTTATAGCTTCTAATATTATAACTAGTTTTATAGCAATATATACAAGTAATATTTCTAAATTTTGAACTTGCTACTAGTTGCTAACTAGTCTTGATACTACTAAAAACTTAGTGCTCTTTTAATAGATAACCTTTTTAATATTTTACAATAGGATTTTTAATACTAACTTTTTTTTTTAATTCAGTAGTCATGCTATAACTTTATTTAGATTTGTTTTCTATTTGAAAACAACATTATTTAGCTATATACTATCTAATATCTAATTTTTTAA